GATGGATGAAAGCAAAGGTCTACAGACCAATTGTGCACGGCGTACATTATTGGTCGTGTGTATCGCCTAGTCAAGAAGGGAAGAATGCTTCGCTGTTCCAGATTCGATGGCTAGACAGTCAGTTCCAGAGTGCTGTGGAGCATATCAGCGTTGGGATGGTGTAGGTTGGCATCAAAAATTACATTATGCCTACACGAGTAAAGAACCCGGATTGGAGAATCCTCCTACGTCCCGATCCCACCGATGAGATTGACTCTGAGGAAAATGATTCAGATTGCGAAGATGAAGAAGTACTTGAAGCTTTCGATCCGACTGAGTTACTTCCAACCAGCCTCGCTGAAGTTGAAGCAATCAGAAGCATGCGCTTGGTTCCGTCTGGAGAAATTCAGATGCCTTCGTATCTGTACAGGCACGGTGATGGATCGACACGAAGCTACTTGCGTCCTGAGTTTGAACATTTGTTTGAACATTCTGCCAGTTCCAGCTTCTTTGCCTACATACCGCTCTACTTTTGGCGCCAAGTGTTGCATGAAACTAACAAGTACGCCGTGGTGAATGGCATTGGGCTGGCGAACCAGTTCACTATCGACGAGCTCATGATTTTCCTGGGCATTCTATTCTTCATGGCAACGAACGATAAAGGCGAGTACGCTAATTTCTGGGGTTTACAAGCGGAGGGTCTAATTTTTGGTGGTGTTACAACTTCGCTTGATGGCATCATGACGCTACATCGCTTCAAGCTACTGCGGCGATGTCTGAGCTTCAATGCGGTCCCTAACACACTAGATCAAGATGCTGCAGCTCGCATCCGACCTCTTCTGAACCTGCTAAAATCAGTGGTGGCCAGTATATTTACGTTGGTCGAGAGGTTGCGCTTGATGAAGCAAGTGTTGCCTGCCGTTCGCGTCAAGGCCGCCACATGATCGTGTATAATCCCATGAAGCCTACTGGGAAATATCATTTCCGGCTGTACATGGTATGCTGCTCTACTTCGTGGGTCGCGCTGAATTACAAACTTCACCGCAACCGAAGTGACATCTTGGACAGACTGAATGGTGTAGTTGGCCAAGTTGAAGCGCAAAACCTGCGAGAGGAGCTGGAGGAAGTATCTAAAATCAGACAGCATGTGTTGGAGGTAACAAGACCGCTATTCGGAACAAGCAGGGTTGTCAACATGGACAACTATTATACGTCCGTGCAGCTTCTCCAGGAGCTCCGACCGAAAGGCCTCTACGGTCGCGGCACTATCCGTGCCAACAGCAAGCATTTCCCAGGCCACACTATTCTCCACAAAGACGACTATTCCCGAGGGGACTGTCTCGCACGATCACAGCATGCTTGCAGCGTCATGGTGCGACGGTAACGTGGTCAACCTTGTGTCCAATGCGGACTCAACGAACATTACAACTATCACTCGCATGGTTGGTAACGAGAAGCAGTCGTTTCCTGCTCCAGAGTGCGTCGCTCAGTATATAACCAACATGCAAGGTGTTGATCGCCTTGATCAAATACGCGGACGATTCTCTACTGCAGATGGTCACTCGTACAAACGCTGGCACAAGAAGTTGGCGCTCGCCCTCACCGATGTGGCGCGCTCCAACGCGTATCTTACGCGACGTTTGGTACAGGCGGAGCCAGTAACGGGTGCTCCTCATAGAAAGTTTGTGATGGAGCTAGTTGGTGAACTTCTCAATGGACAATGGAAGAATGCACCCAGCGACGGTTGCATGCTGTACAGCGGAAATTTGGGTGACGAAGGAGAAGGAGGCCAACTCGACACGCCCTCTTCCCAGCCCTCTCCTAGTGTAGTTGCTGTGCCCCCGACAACTGCTTGTAGTTCCGTGGCTTCGAGGCAAATTCATGCCGAGGAGGGCAGAAAGCGGCGCCGCTGTATTGTTTGCCGATGGGAGGGACGATATCCTACCGAGGTAACCAACTATTGCCTCACGCATGGTGTCTGTTTGTGCCGAGTTGTGCACGACCGCCCCGCCAAGCCATGGATGTGTCCGTCGACGACATCAACATGCTGGGAAA